ATGAAGGGCTCTCACATCTCTATTGATTCCTCCTCTCTGCCTAGTCTCCTCCCTCAAATCCCTCCCATCTGGGTTCCTTTGCTAGACAAGGTTTTCTCATGCTCTCATAGCTGGCAGGAATCATTTTAGTTCACTCACATACGGGTATGGTGATGGGGGAAGGAGGGGGAACCAATGGGTTAGAATGTGTACTGGGACTACTGTGCGAAATTTAGTTGGAGACAGCGGGTCGCATGCGCAGGATAAGCGTGCCCGGCTATACGATCCAGAGAGTTTAATGTCACTTTAGTAACAGAAATGTATCTTATTTGTGTATCACTCGGCTGTAGATCCTCCAATCATCTCTGAATTGGTGCTGACACTGTCCTTCCTTCTGGAGGGGGGCTACTTTTGTTCCCCATGGTCCCTGTGTGTGTTGTAAAGTAGTCACCGCTCCAAGCTCACTCCCGGGGTGGACTACAATCTCATGTTTAGTTTACTCATTTGTACTGAGATTGTAGTTGGGTTACTAGGAAGGATTTTCTGCTCTTCATGGAAGTGTTGAGACAATGTTTCTTTAGCTACGGATCTCTTTCTGTGCCGGATGATTGATTTATGAGGTATGTTCCGTTCAGTTCTTTATCAATATTCAGAATGACAGGTAGTTGTCCCCAGGGGGAATCAGGACCCTGGGAGGTGGGCTTCATCTAATTTTGGTGAACTGGGTGGGGAAGGTATGCAACATTTTACATCCTTATCCAAATAATTAGAAACTTTTGGGAATACTCACAGGTGGCACCTTTATCCATTTTTCTTAAAATATTTGATGTATTTTTGTGACGGTGCCACCACTCAATGGACGGTTCAGAGGTTCCCTCCTCTTCTTGCAAAAAACAAAAATTCTAGCTTGTGATCTCACAAATTTGAGTGTATTTAATATGTGTTTCAGTACTTAAAGGAGAACTATGAGATGAGTGATTTCCACTCACCTCATAGTTCTAAGCCGACCTGTGACAATGAGACTGTCACAGGTCGGCTCAGTAGATCGGGAAGTGAGAGAACACATACCGGCGTTCGCTCACCTCTCGATCCTGTCACGGCTCTCTGCCGTGACAGGGGGAGGGCTGGATTCCCCGCTCCGATCTGCCAGTGCTGACTGGCGGAACGGACGGGGGAGGGGGCGGGTACAGCGGGCTCTGCCTCTAGATAGGCAGAGCCAGCTGTCACTCACGCAGCTGGGCGGATCCCGTCATCTACGTCGGGATCCGCTCCGGCGTCTCAGTATACTGTGAGCTGTAGCTCGCGGTATACTGAGCTTTGGGTCACGGGAGGACGCTAGTTTGTGTCCTCCCGTTACCCTAAGGAGAACTACGGGGAAAAACACTGACCCCATAGTTCTCCTTTAAATAGCATTTTTGTAACAGCCATAGGTAGTGTAAGCTACCGGTGAGAGATGCTTAGAGGGGGCCATACAAGTATATAGAGTGCCACACCTTCAGCTGAAGGCCATAGAAGATCTTTAGGGGGCTCCAAAAAAACATCCAGTACTGCATTTTGAACTCCGCTCATAGAGCTGCCCCTCCATGAATTGTACTCCAGGGCCTAGCTGGTGGATTTGCCATCTGCTGTCAGTTTTATGCAGATGTGGGGAAATGTATAGTGATGTGGGAAACACAGGACACACATGGCATACGTTGGCCATTTATGAATAAGAAACTGCTAGGTGCCCAGATTTTAGTGCAGCAACATTCCCACCAAGGGGATCTCACACCAGACCTCCCGCTGACCCTGCACTGGCCTTTCTAGGCTCACTTTGTGCTAAGTGATGACCTACAGAGACTGCCGCTGCTGACTGGGGATGGACAGCAACACTCACTACAGGTGGGTCTACCCTTCAGTCTTGGCATAGATTTCTGCTCGCTGTACAACTCTCACAGCGACATCAGAAATGTCCTTCAATGAGAAAAGATATGTACAAAGATTGGAACATTGTTTGTCTCGTAGTTTATAATGTTATAATGCACGGCTCAGTGTACAATCCCAGCATGTGGCGGAATTAAGTCCCAGGCGCAAGCACACAAGTCACTTATGCAGCACTCCAGGCTTCGTCCCGTGGAGCCTGGCATGTGTTCTGATCCATTGCAACACCACAGTCTCCAGTGTAAGGAATGGTCACAGGCAGAAGTTATGCAAGCAGGTACCATGCACCACTTCCAGAACCTGCACCCAACATGCCGCAGTATTCAGTCTGAGGAAGAGTGATACCCCCCCTCCCTCGTGTGGCGGCAACAAATCCCCAGCACACACCTGGTACAGCACACATAGCCACATAACAGGTGTCATTGGTCACAGAGTGGGAGGAAGGTTGCATCACAAGGTGACCGATGGCACACAACATTAATTAGTACTCTTCCCCCTCAGCCATGAACTGGTTCTATCTAGTTCTATCTCAAGGTATCATAGTGTGACCCACATGGTACCAGCAGTTCTATCCCAAGGTATCATAGTGTGACCCACATGGTACCAGCAGTTCTATCCCAAGGTATCATAGTGTGACCCACATGGTACCACCAGTTCTATCCCAAGGTATCATAGTGTGACCCACATGGTACCAGCAGTTCTATCTCAAGGTATCTTAGTGTGGCCCACATAGTACCACCAGTTCTATCTCAAGGTATCATAGTGTGACCCACATGGTACCACCAGTTCTATCTCAAGGTATCATAGCATGACCCACATGGTACCACCAGTTCTATCTCAAGGTATCCTAGTGTGACCCACATGGTACCAGCAGTTCTATCCCAAGGTATCATAGTGTGACCCACATGGTACCACCAGTTCTATCTCAAGGTATCCTAGTGTGACCCACATGGTACCAGCAGTTCTATCTCAAGGTATCCTAGTGTGACCCACATGGTACCAGCAGTTCTATGTCAAGGTATCCTAGTGTGACCCACATGGTACCAGCAGTTCTATCCCAAGGTATCATAGTGTGACCCACATGGTGCCACCAGTTCTATCTCAAGGTATCCTAATGTGACCCACATGGTACCAGCAGTTCTATCTCAAGGTATCCTAGTGTGACCCACATGGTACCAGCAGTTCTATCCCAAGGTATCATAGTGTGACCCACATGGTACCACCAGTTCTATCTCAAGGTATCATAGTGTGACCCACGTTTACTTTTAGGAACTAGCAGAGGGCCCAAGACATTGTAAGAACCCAAACCTACCACCAGCTGAGCACCAGGTTTCACATGAGGCCCGACCTTCAAGGTAACACTGTACAAACACAACGGTACCGGCCGGGGGGAAACGCAGCCAACTGAAGCCTTCCACCGAGCGCCTTCTCATCAGACACCAGGGAGAGCAATGCAGACCTCACACTACACGCACCACGAGCTGGGAGAAAACGCACCGACTACAAGCTTACCCGCATCGCACTGGTGGATGCAAGTACACGTCACCACAGCAGATGTGGTCTACCCAAGCTGGTCATAGTGGGGGGATTGGAGGCAAGCCTCCCAAAACTGCATTTCAGCACCAGACACCACCCCTCTCTGGGTGGGGGGGGGGGCAGTATTCGGTGTGATGAACGCACTTGCATCCTTGCTCTGCTGCTAGTTGACCTTTTGTGGAGTGCGAGTGTCCTCCCCTCCAGCAGCAGCGCGACAGCCAGCTCACATCTACTGAACGATCTGCATTAGTCTGTTCTATTATAATACGGGATTTATAGAGTGCCAACAGTGTGCGCAGCACTTTACAATCACAATACAAAGTCTGGAGGGTGCTAATCCGTCACCTCACATACGCACCACACGGGGTGTTTGGATCTGGGATTTTGCATTTCCCAGCACTGCGTGTGTTGTGGGGGAGCATCCATTCATCTTCTATGGATCACTAAACTCCACACAACACACCAGCAGGTGGGGGGGGGGAGGGGGGGGTTTAGATTGTTTTAGTACAAGTGCATGTCGTGCCAATCAATTTCCAAAACAGTACAATGCACATCACGTGTAAAGGTGCGCACACACCTTACGATTATCGGACAAAACTTTCCGTCTGATGATTGAACAGTCGTACCATTTTCGTACGGCAGCCCCATCCTGCCCCGATGATCGCAAGATTAATTTAGCCGTAATTAACGACAAGCACCCGGATGAAATGCGGTCATTGATTTGCCGTATTTTCATTAGCGCATGCGCAGTGTAGATCGTACGACTTGACGGGAACGCCAGCAACCTTACGACAATCGTACGATCGAGCAAAGTTTTCAAACATGCCTGACCGTCAAGTCGTACGATTGTACAGTAATGTCGGTGGGACACTGCAATGCACACATACGATTATCGGACGGAAATCATAATGGGCCCCTAAACACAGAGCTGTGACTGGCCCTCAGCCCGGGATCTACAAGTGTTAGGTCAGTACTGTTGGTTGAGAATAGAAATGGCCACGACACCCTTGTGCACATGTACACACCGGCCTTAACCCCCTCCTCAGGTCCAAATGGAGTTTACCAACTGCAGCGCAAAGTCCCTAAGCAGCCCATTTGTTCACACAGAGGCACCCTCCATGCAGATGTGTTAGACCATACCACAACCACTGATGAGGATGATCACTCCCCTCCCCCACAGCTTCATCCAACTCTGGTACCTGTTCAGTCTATGGTGACATCCTGAGGTTCTCTATGTAATCCACACCACTGGCTTCTAGCTTATGTACACTGGTAACATTGTATGTGGAGGATAACATGAAAACCTCCACACAATACATCAGGCGTAAGCATCCTTGGCAATCCAGCTGCGGTGAAGCTACAAGTCCCCATCATGCCTCCATCTCTGGGAGTCATGCCGGTGGCTACATCTTGCAATGCCTCATGGGACTTTTAGTTCCAGCATCTGGAGTGCAGAGGTTGCCCACCCCCGCTATACATTTATAAGTCACCTCTGACATTTGCACACTCCGCCCCCCGCCCCTCCCCATTGGTGAAGCAGAAAAGTGAATCGGAGAAGATTGTAATGAATCCAGAATCTTTATTACAATCCTTGTAGAAAAACTTAGTCAAAGAGACCGAAGCCCATGTCGTCATCAGACTCCTCGGACTCGTCCTTCTCTTCCTCCTTTTTCTTCTCTTCAACTGCAAAAAAAGAATCGCCAGCCTCCAGGGACCCCAGAGCCTCCCCCGCCAACCTCCAGGCACGCCAGAGGCCACCTCCTGCCACCCTCCTTGCAACAGGACTTAGTTGCTTTAGCATTTGGCTTATCCCTACTCTTAAAAAAAAAGTGCATGGAGGGAGCAGATCTCATGCACTGCCATCTCTTACCTGGAGCAGCTGCGGCAGGAGCAGCAGCCACAGCGCCAGCAGCGGGGGCGCCACCACCAGCTCCCACGTTGGAGATCAGACTGCCGATGTTGATGCCGGAGAGAGCCTGCAGAGAGAAGAGACGAGGTCAGGATGGAATATACTACAAGAGCCTGCGCCATACCAGACTACAGCGTTCACCTAACAGGGTCTGAAGACAACAACCAACACCTGGCCCGGGTCAGTCTGCACACCATACATATAACCCCTTTATGACAGTGTACATGCAGCAGCATGGCAGGGGCCCCCCTAATACCTCCCGGGATCTGATCCTCCTCGCAGGATGCAGATATATAAACTGCACTTTTTTTTCTCTTAACATTCAACAAGCTTTATTGCAAGTAGTGCAAAGTCACAAAGCCAGACTGATGCATCAATGCACCACCAGACCCTCGGAAGAGGGGAGTGGCTGGCTCTGTGAGTTTGCACTTTTTACAATAAAGCTTGTTGGATATTAATTAAAAAAAAAAAGCAGAAGTGCAGCCCGTTTGTGCCATATTAACCATAGAGAGGTCAATTCCCATCCAGCGAGCTGCCCATTCATTCCTCACTTCTGTTATATAACAGGGCCCTTCCTGCTTGGTAAGCTCTGGGGCCCGATCACTGACACGGAGCAATGGGGGAGGAATTCAAAGTCAATTTAGGAATTTAGAAGATAATTAGGAGGCAACGAAGCGAAAACCCCAAAACTGCTCTGAGTGAAGGATTTGTCCTTTCTATGGAGATCACCCCTCCCTTCCTGTAGTGCCCCCCCTCCCCCCAGTGAGGATCTCCAAAATACATCTCCCCACAGGGGACAAATACAATCCTGACCGGTTCTACTTCTTCCCCAATCTACTGCTTGCTGCCATCACAGCCTCTTACTGACATTTCTCCCATTTCCTGTCTAGGTGACATACAAGTGAACAGCAGCTTTCCCAGCAGAGATGTCACATGACATAGCAGCACTCCAGCTGTTATGAAACTACAATCCCATCATGTGCATCATATTACATCTATTGCAGCCAGATTTGCAATGGCTCATGGGACTTGTAGTTCCAGAACAGTGGCGAGGTTGCCAACCCCTGTGATAGGAGCCTCCCCCTCCCCCAATGGCACAAGCCTCTATTTTTGGAGTCACTGCATGCAGTCAAGTCTGAGCAGTCACAACATCCGATTACTGGTCCCATGACTGAGCACTGAATCCTACCACGGCCAGGAAAGCGGCATTTTCAGAAAGGTCAATGTCTTTGTAAATACAAGAACTACGTACCTTGGCGAACAGGCTGGGCCAGAACGGCTCCACGCTGACTCCTGCAGCTTTGATCAGAGCGAGGATCTTGTCTTCCTAGAGAGATAGGACATTGTTAGATATACAGGCATGACCGTGAACACGCGGCGACACACAGACATGACCGTGAACACGCGGCGACTAATGAACGCCGAGACCAACAGAACACTGCAAGCCAAGAACCTTCCTCAACCTGCCGGGTCAGTTCCACAACTGGGACCTGAATGTCATTTAGGTGGATTTGGCCCCCGACTCAGTCATACATGTGCCTGCCAGTCTTGCAATGCCTCATGGGACGTGTAGTCACACCACAGCTGGGGTTTGCCTACCGCTGCTATAAACAGTGTAGTAGTGGGCGCTACAAATGGACCAGCAATCACTGCAGACTGAACAGTATTCAAAGCAAAACTTCACATGTCAGATTCTACTAGTCACATGATCATTCATGGGGGTCACCTGACGGGTCCGGCACATGGTGTGTCACACATCAGATTACATGGCAGACAATACACACAGCAACCAAACCTCAGAGGAGTGACAGACTAGAAGAAAGCCAAGACTGGAGACAACTTTCAGGACGGAGTAGAGAATGGATAAAGTATGACACGGGAATGTACGCTTTACTGCCGCTCACCCAGAGAACTGTTTGGGGCACTCTCAGTAAACCCAACCTTCTCTAGAGTCTCACCCCATCCTCTGGAACTCTCTACCCCCAACCTGTCAGACTATCTCCTACTCTGCCTTTAGGCGTTCCCTAAAGAGTCATCTCTTCAGGGAAGCCTATCCCACCTCAACCTAACCGCTCAGCTATCATGTTCTCATACAATTCATCCCCACACAGCTAACTCCTTATGTATCACTGGCCCCTCCTTAGATTGTAAGCCCTCAGGGGCAGGGCCCTCCTTACCATCTTGTCTTGTGATTGTAATGTCTTCCTTATATTTTAAAGCGCTGGGCAAAATGTTGGCGCTGTAAAAATCCTGTATAATATAACTGTGCATTTTAGGCTGTCATGTTGGGAGATTTGCACTCATTTCCTGTCCCAGAGTTGACAGGAAGTGAAATCTCTACAACATAAAGGTGGATTCCACTAACCTGTCACCACAGACAGATCATTCCTCTCCGGTGTTGAGACTGTGCGTATTCATCTCCATAATATATCCCCTCAGAAGCTGCAGCAGCTATCCTGAGCCATCTTCATATCCTATCTGAACTACTTCCATCATTCATCAATCCCTTCCCACCAATCCACACAGTCATTGGTTCCCCTCAGCCATTTGTTTCCATGTCATCATTTTGTCCCCGAGCTCTATGAGGAAGACATCCCTGGCATCCCCCTGGCCGTGCCTGCAACCAGCTAATGTCCAGAGTCCAGTGCCTAGCAGGGAGCAGAAGGCACAGCTAAGGGGATCCCGGGGATGTGTTCTTTTATAGTCTTCTGAAGATCCGAGGCAGAAAGCGGAGATGTTTACAGGAGTCCAGGACAGGAAGTGAAGGAAAATGCCACCAAAGCGGATAGAGGCCTTCCACACCGCAACCAAAAATACAACGTTTTGGCTTTATATTAAACAGGAGGGAATCTATCAATCTAGAAGACCAGAAGCCCGACACAGACACTAACCAGCCAATGGGCACACTGACCCCAAACCCTTAGTATCTACCGGATAGC